GTCTAGGAGACTCGGACAAGCCCGGTGGTTCTGCCGTGGATAAAGTTTGAGAAGCCCTGCCCCCACCCCCATGGGCCAGAGAAGCTGATGGCGTAGCTTTGTGACTCTCAGATGGGCTGTATGCGTGGTACACACCTCTGAGGAGGTTACAGTGTGGTCTGAACCTGGTGATAGGCAGAAGCATATGTTCAGGACTCACTGGTGCTGACACAAACAGGAGGGCATCCCCAGCCATCTTATTTCAAAGTTACTTTACCTTGCCTTTTCGTTCACCAAGATGTACCAGCAGGATGCCAGGTGGCATTTGAACCCGCCCTAAGTTATTAAAAGGTATGTCTCTCAAAGTTGGAGCGAGCTCCTTCTCTCAGAACAGACTGAGCGCATGCCAGGATGTGAGACAAAGTATGATGAGGTTCAGATATCTCCTCTCCTTCTTGATGCCTCCAGGGACACCCCCACGCCAAGACCGCTAGATCCATGGGCCCCCACCTCTGGTACAAGGAAATACATAAGCCTGGGAAGGGGCACTGTCAACACAAAATAAATACCAGTGCTGGTCTTGAGGAGACATCTAACAAGAGTTAATGGTGTTTCCTACTTGAGGTCAGAAAAATCCCTGTGTCCGGCCCCCAACTCTTTGTGTCCTACCTAGCATCCCCAATGAGGTCTGGGGTTCACATTGAACTTGATGACTCTGCACAGCCAACCAATCTACCTGGGTGTGTGAGAGAGAGAGAGACAGACAGATAGACACAGTCATCAGTCTGCTCTCCCTAGGAGTAAATGTGGGTTACCTTGACTGTGCTCCTCGTCCCCTCCCTGTGCTGTAGACAGGCTGCTTCTGTTTGATTCACAAGGAACCGTGAGAAACAGCCCCGTATGCGAGGCCGTGTTTTTCATTCTATTCAGTCTTTGTATATTCAAATTCTCCCAGTTTCAGCTCTTGCTGTTCTGCCAGATTTCCATTGCATTGATGGCTTCTCTGAATTAATAAGTGTTTTGCAATCGCGGAAAAGTTTTTCTCCACCAGCTTCCCCCCCCCCACCCACCCCAGCACCGGTCTTATCCATATTGATTTTTTTTTCTTTCTCTTTCCTCTCTAGCTATTTCTCAGATGTTTTATGTAAAGTGTTAATAGAATTTTTCTTTTGCCCTGACATTTTATCTATTCAGGAGGTCTCTGCGAGTCCCATTGTGCGACTGGACTGGAGAGGAAAGAGCTCTATTCTTGATGACAATGGTTGCCCTAAAAAACATACACAGATCCTCCCCCTCACTCCCCAGGATGGAACGAATGTCGGGAGGGTAGCGGCGAAAAACATCCAAACTTTGGAAGGGAAAGACGGAGCCAGTTACACCCTGTTGAGGGGTGGGGGTGAGGGGGAGCATTGAAAATACTTTTTTTTTTTTTAATTCAAAATATTTATTTCCTAAGGAGATCTGGGTTTCAATACCAAAACATGGCCAACACAGAAGGGAGGCTGTTTTCCTTACTGTTAGGCATTTTTAGCTCAAAATAAGCACTTGGCAAACGTCTTAGAAAATGTGGAGATGGGTGTGAAACAGATGTCACGTTTACCTGCACGACACGCACCCACCCACACCGCAGGCATTGGGATTCTTATCGAGGCCCTGGGGTCTGAGTGTGCGGGACCATATGCTCAAGTGTGACTGCTCTGTGTGCAAACAAACTAGTTGATCTTCTGCTGGTTTTGTTTGAGTGATGCACGGAGGTAGACGGCTGTGGTGTGTGTTGCCTCCGCAGGTGCCTGGGCGGGGGTGGGGGGTGGGGAACCATCGAGCCTGCCTGGCTGCAGAAGGGTCTGGTGAAGGCACCCCATCTCTACCCTAGCACCACCTCCTCCCCTCAGCCTGGTACCTGGCCGAGAGAGAGGAGCTCCCTGCTGGCGAAGCAGTAACCATGCAAGGCCATTTTCTTCCCAGTCACTGACTTTAGAAATGGGGACCAGAAGGGGAAGGCCCCAGGAGCCTGTTTGTTCAGACTCTGTTGCTTAGCAACCAAGGGGGGCCCTGACTCCGGAAGGGATTTTTTAAGCTAGGCCAGTCCCTAGGTTTGCGTCTGGCTTGCCTACCCCCTCTTCCGTTCTTACCTTGACTTTGCTTTTCCCCCTGTTCTATTTGATAGCGTCTAGAAAAATAGATTTGATTTGTCTGGAGGCAGCATTTTAAACCTGGTTTTATTGCTTTGCCCAGTGTCTTCCCCTCCATCAGAGATTGTAGTCTGGGAGGAGTGAAGAATGAATAGCCTATGATTCCATTTCTCAGCTGGCTTAGCACAAGCCCCCAAACTCATTTGTGAACCTTTGAGCTCCAATGAACAGTGCTCAGTCCCTCCCAACCACAGTGCGTGCGCGTGCACACACACACACACACACACACACACACACACACTCTGAAATTGCTCCAAGCTCAGAGCCCTTTGGCTAGCGGCTTTGTCCAGGACCACATGGGTTGAGTTATAGTTTTATCGACAATCTTGGGCACAGAATGAATGAAGAGACCCGGCTCTCACCTGGCCAAACTGAGTACCATGCCCAGATGAGTAGCTGACCGGCTGGGACAATATCTATACTAAAGTTGGGTATTCTGTCGAAGAATAAAGAATTGGATCCTAAGTACAAGGAGTGGAATTCAAAGCCAACTCAGGTTCAGTAATAGTGATGTTCTTGAGATCTGCCTAGGAATTGAGTGTAGATCCTGAAATCTTATTGCTAGAAATATCCAGAAGGGTTGCAGGATGCCTAGAAAGACTGAGGGAGAAAGAGGAAGAGAGACGGAGGATGGCTTTGGCGCTTTCTCCTCTTCGATCTGTTTGTAAAGGTCCTAGCATGAGTGCGGTATTCTCCTGGGGCATCCCTAACCAAGGACCACAGACCGGATGGTCAAACAACACAAATTTATTTGTTCGCTCTTGTGGACGCTGTGAGTCCAAGATGAGCAGGGTTGGTTTCTTCTGAACTCTCTCTCCTTGGTTTGTAGCCACCTTCTCTCTGTGTCCTCACATGGTCTTCCCTCTATATCTGACCAGATCCAAAGTCCCTCTGTGTATAAGGACCCCAGTCAGAACTGGATCAGGGCCCATTCTAGTGACCTCATTTTAACTCCATAACCTCTTTAAAGATCCTGTCTCCAAATACAATCACATTCTGAGATACTAGGGATTAAGACTCCAATATCCAAGTTTGGGGGGGGGTGGGCACAGTTCAGCCCATAGCAATCAAGACATTAAATTTCCATTGTGTAGAACTGGAAAAAGTTTAAATATCCACAGAAGGATAACCGAGTTAAGTAACAGTATGCCGCAGTCAATCGTATTCGCAATAGCTCACACCCGCTAGGATGACTACTGTCAAAAAAAAAAAAAACCCCCGAAAATAACAAGTGTTGGCCAGGATGTGGAGAAATCGGAACCTTTGTGCACTCTGGGTGGGAATGTAAAACGGTGCAGCCACTGTGGAAAACAGAATGGCAGTTCCTCCAAAAATTAAAAGTAGAGTTACCGTGTGATCTAGCAGTTTCATACACAAAAGAATTGAAAACAGGGACGCAAGGAGATATGTGCACTTTCATGTTTATTCACCACAACTCAAACTGCGTGTCCGCCGACGGATGAATGAATAAGCGAAACGTGGTCTATATGTGCAGTGGAATATGGATGAACCTCGAGGACATGATGCTGAGTGGAACAAGCTGGTCGCAGAAAGACAGACACTGTGTGATTCTACTTCTATGAAATCCCGTAGGCCTCCCTCCCCTCCATTCATGGCTTCAGTTCCCCGTGGTCCACCGCGGTCCTAATGCTGGTGACCCTCCTCCTTCTGGTGGATTCTCAGACGACCCATAGCAGCCAAAGGCTGCGTCACTTGCCTGAGTCATTCACCTCACTTCCTCTCATCACTTAGGCATCTTATCATCTCTCTTCGTCAGTAACGTTACAACCAGATATTTGGGGAAAGACCACATTCACATAACTTGTATTACAGCAGATTGTTGTAACTGTTCTGTTTTATTATGCGTTGCTATTGTCAAATCTCCTACTGTGCCCAGTTTGCAAATTAAACTTTAGCATAGGTATGTGTGTCCAAGAAGGAACCTGGTGTGTATTGGGTTGAGTACTCTCCACAGTTTCAGGCAACCATGCGGGGTCTTGGAATGTCTGCCCTGGGGGATGGGGGGACCTCAGTCACAGTCTTAGAGACAGAAGATGGGATGGTGGGTACCAGGGACGGGGGGTGGGGGGATGAAGGGGATGGGGGGGTATTATTTTTGATAGGGTAGAGTTTCAGTTTTACGAGATGAAAAGAGTTCCAGACATGAATGGTGGGGATGGTAGTTGAACATTGTGAATGTACTTAGGACCGCTGAACTATACAGTAAAGAACGGGGAGGATAGCAATTTTTATGTTATGTGTATTTAACCATAATTTAAAAATTGGGGGAAAAAACAGATAATATTTGTGACATAGTCATTTGGGAATTATTTGCAGTATTGTAGTATTTTTTAAAAATAATTTTATTTATTCATGAGAGACAGAGAGAGGGAGGCAGAGGGAGAAGCAGGCTCCCTATAGTGCAGGGATCCCAATGCAGGACGTGATTCCAGGACTCTGGGATCATGACCTGAGCCAAAGGCAGTCGCTTAACAGACTGAGCCACCCGGTGCGCCTGCAGTATTGTAATATCATATAAAAAAAGGGGGGAGAAAATTCCATATACAGTGTGATTTAAGCTATATTAAAATAGGCATGAGTTTTGTTTTTTTTTAAGGCAAAAACTAGAGGGAAGTATATCAGTTAACTGCAGTTGTTCTAGGCAGAAAGACAGTGATTTTTTTTTTCTTTCTCATTTTTTGTTTTCAAATAAATTGTCATGAGTATCCATGACTTTGACCACAGAAACCACCCTCCCCCAGCAGCCTATAGTATTTCGTATGTCTCGTCAAAATTCCTAAAGCAGCCTCCCTTCGGTTTGTTTTGCAGGTGGAGGACGCAATGCTGATGTTTGATAAGACGACCAACAGGCACAGAGGTAAGAGCCCCTGCAGAATAAGCTGGCCCCTTCTGCTGGTTGCCTGCCCAGCTGTTGAACATCTGTATTCATCATGGGGGGCCACCACAGCACGAAGAGTCCAGACCCTCTGACAGTTAAAAATCAGCCACGCCCAAAACATGTTCCGATGTCCCTTTCTGATCCTGGCTTTCTTAGTCTTAGTTTGAGCACTAAGCGATCCAAGTGGAAATTATTCATGGCAATTACTCAGCTGACCTTTCAGTTCGCATTGAAGGAGGTGGTTTAGAAGCACACTGTCAGTCTGAAGAGCCAGAAAAGAAAAAAAAGAATACCCTTGTTGTAGGTTTATTCGATGTGTACGGGGGCTTGTAGACTCAGCAGCGTCTGTGTGCACGTCTGGAATGTTTAGAAGGCTCCACACTTACTCCTTTTTTCTCCTGTGTTCTTCCTGTCCTATCCACATTTTAGAAAGTAGGTCTCAGCTTGGGGATCTGTGAACCCCTGAAATAATGCACAAAATGTGTTAAGTTTGTGCTGTCCTTGGGAGACATTCTCGCTTTGAACAGATTGTCGGAGGGGTTTCTGACCTCCATACCTCCCCTCCCCAAGAAAGGAACATGTTGAAATTATTGCTTTAAACGGAAAATTGGACGAGTCTAGAAAATCCTCCCAGAGATAGTAGAGTCCAAGGTTAAGACTTGGCATTCCATCTCCTGTTCTCCGGAAGCTCCTGGTTTCTGGGGCTCCTATAAACCGGGCGCTAATGAGCAGAGTCTCGAAAGGGAGGTGGCAGGAAGCAGCGTTCTTGAGAGGAGCCAGAGTGAGCGGTATTTCCTTGCCACTTGGATTGCATTTAGATGTTTCTTGTGTTGTTTACATTCTTGCTGTCACCTGTGATTAGAAGCAGTTACCAAGCTCTGACTATATGTCTCTCCTGGTGGGAGCAGGCAGGCTGAGCGAAAGAGGAAGGGGGTGGGGGGAGAAGGAGGAGGGGCTGTCCTGAGTGTGCCTCGCAGTCTGGCTTCCTGGACGTCCATCAACAGCGTCCTCCGAGGGGAAAATGGAAAACTGGATGGGAAACTGGGGCATCAATGGTGTACGGTGTTGGGAAGGGATGGGGAGGGTAGAGGATGAGGAGTAGGGGAAGGAGAGGGAAGAAAAGAAGAGCTTACACATGTGGAATGATTGCTTTGTCTTCTGAGTTGCTAAGCACCCTGAGAGCCGAGAGAGCAAGGGGAGGGGGCGGGCAGAGAGGGTCATTTCCCGATTATTCTCCGCCATCATCCTTACAGGGTGGGGGAGGGGGTTTCCGAGCCCTGCTTCCCTGTGCATTATCTTATCTGATCTTCACAGCAGCCCTGTGACTTTGGGAGAATCCCTTAACTTCTTTATATTGTGGATCTCAGTTTATGCATCTGTGAAATGGGGATAATAGGAGTACTTCCCCACAGGGTTGTTCGGAGAGTCTAGTGCCCTGCACATCATTGGCTCCTGGGTTAGCTCTTATCATTATTGTATTCAGTGTCCCCACCAGTGTTGGGCCTGAGGTGATGGAAGCTTAGAGAGGGTAAGGGACACACCCCAGGTCAGAGCAGGGGCTCATCCCTAGGACTGCTGTTTTCAAATTCTGCTCCTTTGTGGTCTCCACATGGGGACGGACTTGTTAAGAAGAGTGTTTTCATCTGCTTATTATCAGGGTGGGCGAGGCCCCTCTGAGTGCAGCTGTGGTGGTCAGTGCTAGAATTCCTGTTCCCAGAAGATTCCCCATTGGCCTTGTGGCAGCAGCCTTTATCACTCTTTTTTTTAATATCCACAGATAAAGGGCTTAAGGGCTTTCGGATCTGCTCCAGGTCAGGCCCTGTGTTGGGAGGGGATGAGAAGTTATCTCAAGCAGCCTTCACGGCAGTGCCTGGAAGGAGGCGTGTCATCTGCCCCCACCCCCACCCCCAGGCTGGTGACTCCATGCCACTTTATTCAGCTAGTAACAGACACAGGCAGGTTCAGGCTGAGGGTGTTGGGCACCCCGGACATAGCCCCAGAGGCGGTGTGGGAGGAGGCTCTCCCATAGTTCTAACCCAAAGGCTTCTGGCTATGGGTGGCACCTCTTCCCTTCTTCTAGGGCCCTGGGTGTGGTGATGGGGCAGGGTCCCTCCATGACTCCTGCCTCAAGGTGGAGAGAGGTCCCTCTCCTGGCCCTGTGCTCATAGTGGCTCCAGGGACGGCCGTGCTCTCCCTCCCGCATCAGGACTTCTGGGGGACACTGGCAGGAAGGAGGCTGGGCGCAGCCCCCTGTGTGTGCTCCGTCCTGCCCCCAGCCAGTTACCAGGGGGAGGACTCCCGTCATGGATGTAGGACTTGGATAATTTCATGGGGCCAGAACAAGAGGAAAAGTGGGGGCCTCTTAGTAAAAAATTATTAAGAATTGCAAGGTGAGGGGCGCCTGGGTGGCTCAGTGGGTTAAGGCCTCTGCCTTCGGCTCGGGTCATGATCTCGGGGTCCTGGGAATCGAGCCCCACATTGGGCTCTCTGCTTGGTGGGGAGCCTGCTTCCCCTTCTCTCTCTGCCTACTTGTGATCTCTCTCTGTCAAATAAATAAATAAAATCTTAAAGAAAAAAAAAAAAAGCTGCAAGGTGACAGCCAAGTGTTAAACTCAGAGTGGAGCCCTTCTGAGCGTGGGGCTGGGTCCAACCTCACTGGCTGCCCACCCTCAGAGCTGTCCTATGTCGATGAACCCCGGGAGGGGTGGGGGGGTCCCACTGGTGGTGGGGCAGAGAAGGCAGGAAGGAAGGTGTGTCAAGAAGTTTCAACAAGGAGGCTCTGACGTCCTGCTTCCTCTTTCCTCCTGTACAGACACTTTCTCCCTGGTGTTCTTTCCGTGTAAGGAGGAGCTTCCCCCCCCCCCTTTCCAGGCCCTCTAAATAGCTGAGCGTTTCTCTTTGAACTGGGTTCTGATGCTGGGGTAGTGCTTAAGTGGTTCAGAGCATTTAGGAGGGGAAAGAATTTAAAAAAAAAAAACAACCACCAAGGACCATGTCACCACGGAAGCACAAATCCTACATATGGAACAGTGGGCCCCATCCCTGGCCTGCTGGAATGTGCGTTTGGAATCAGGTGATAAGCACAAGAAAGAAAATCCTCCCGCAGCCACCTTGCCCCAACCTTCCCTTCACCTCCTCAGCTTCCTGTTTCCCATTATCTTATCAAGAAGAAAGTGCTGCAGTGGCAGAAGTTAAGGACACCTCTGCCGCTGGCAGGGCTGCTGGCTTTCTTCTTAAGGAGGTGCCCAGCATTAACCCTCAGTGCGGTCCACATGCTTGCCCGGCACCGTCTCACCCAGCTCTCAGCACAGCGCTGTGGGGCAGCCTGGACCCAAGCTTTCTGAAAACCACCCGAGTGCCCTTGGAGCTGGGACCGCCGACATCCGGGAAGGCTGCACTGTTTGGCCTGGGATTCTGGGAGTCTGGTCCGCTGGGCTCACAGAACCCACTCCCACTTCTCTTGCCACCGTGAGTCAGAGGTCAGGGCTGAGTGTCCTCTCGCCCCACAGTGGCGACGCCCCACCCCGTCCTCCCCGATGGTTCCGTAGGGACAGTGTGGCCCTCAGTGACATCTGTTCACAGAAACGACAGCCCGTCTTTCTTCCTGTGTTACATTTGTACTTGGAGCTCACTTGCACCCTGGGAAAGAGTCCAGGGGAACAGGAGACAATGAGCCCTCCCAGGATGTACGTCCTCCCCATGGAAGCAAGAAGGAGGTGGTTCAGCATGGGACTCACACAGCTGTGTGCAGTCTTCCCTCCCTCTCCGCCTAGAGCAGACCTCCCTCCAGAGCCTGCTGCTCCCTGACACCTGGCCGGGACACATTTCCTACCCGCTCTGACACCTCAGGTCCATCCTCTGCAGCATGGGGGAGCTGGGCTTGAGAAGCTCCAGGATCTCTGACATAGGGTTCTGGCTTTTAGCCTTTTCATGGAGAGAGTGTCCAAGTTTTTCTTATTTTGCTTTTTTAGCTAGGGGAGGGAAGTGAGAGGTTGTCTTGGGTCCGCAGCATATGGGCAGAGGGAGAAGCTGATCTGAGAGGCCCTGGGAATCCTGAAGCTAGGGCTGGCCCCAGTCGGGGTCATAGGACTGACCTTACCCCTGATGTTGATCCCTCACAGGGTGCGGCCCACCCTGGGAAGCACATGTGACTTTGGGCTTGCCCTGAGGACATCCTGGAATGAAGGGACAGCTGGGAGCCATCCTCCAAGAGCACTCTGGGCAGATATCCTGAAGGGGCGGGGGGATCTGGGGATCTGTGGTTGGTACAATGAGTTTTGTGTTCCCCAGGCCACGTTAACGTTCTTGGTGGAAACAGCCAGTGCTTCCTGAGCCATTCTGTACCCCGTGCTGCACCAGCACGTGCCGTCGAATCTTTAGGAAGGTCAGAGGTGGACCCAGCTGCCCAGAGTCCCTAGTTGCATATATACCCCGCCTGTTTGACCCAGAGCCCCTGCTCTCAGCTGCTCTGCAAGCCCGCTGCAAGGCAGTGGTTTATTTTTATTTATTTATTTTTAAGATTTTATTTATTTGACACAGAGAGAGCAGGAGCGCACAAGCAGGGGGAGTGGTGGAGGGAGAGGGAGAAGCAGACTCCCCTGCTGAGTAGGGACCCTGATGTGGGGCCCGATCCCAGGACCTGGAGATCATGACCTGAGCTGAAGGCAGTTGCCTAACCGACTGAGACCCCAGGTGCCCCAGCGCAGTGGTGTGAAGCAGGGGATTCGGTGACTTTAACTCTCGAACACCTCCTTGTTGTGGTCCTTTTGCACCTTCCCTTCTTGCTGGACTGTGATGCACCTCCATTTCAGACAGAGAAACTGAGGCATGTAGCGTTTTGGAGGGCCACGTAGCAGGTTCCTGCAGCCAGGTAGGAGCTACGCAGCTGATAAAAGCTTCCATGAGATTCTTTGTGCCCAAGGGGCAAGAAAGAAGGTGGCATTCCCATTTTCTCAGTCATTTCATTTGCTCTCTAAAAG